TCTGAGTAGCGTAAAAACATTTAAACAAATATAAGTTGTGATAACATTTGAATATTTGATGTTTTCTCTATAATTCTACCTTAATTCTAAACCCTTTTTGGAGGATAGAAAGCCAAGCTCTGACAAGAACTATAAGCTCTTTCTTTTTTTTCTTAATTTCTGTTCAAAAAGGTGGAGCAAGGTTGGAGAGATTTATTTAAGGACAGAAGAGTTTTGTACGGGGGAAGCATGAGGAAAGACGGGTGACAAGGATCTTTTACCAAAGAGACAAAGACCCCTTTGACCCATGAGGCACCAGACAGGTCCCTGCAGCCAGTACCCTAGACAGATACCGGCTTGTACACCCATGATGCATCTATGTTTCCTCTCACACCCTCCTACCACACTCATTATTGCACCCCCACAAACAGGCCTAGAGGAAAAGGTCAGTCTGGTCATTCATGGGCACCTTACAAAGCTTCTGAGCAGACATTTGTTTCTGCGACAACGGCATCTAACACTCACATGTTCCAGACCAAGGGTTAAGGTTCATGGGTGGTGCTTCTTGGGCTCAATGGGCCTCTGTGTGATCATACAGACCTTCAGTAATCCAAGGCTAAAGAAGGTCAGGTGGAAAGATTATGGAGAATCCCGGTCTTCGGCTGAACCCCATGAGTGGAAACTAACTTCTTCCTTATCACTTAGTTTTTTTCTACCTTGAGGCATATCGCCAAATACTCGATTATGTTGCCAACATGGTGAATCCTTTTCTTAAAATGGAAACCATACGATCATCTGGTTAAAAGGCGGGGTTTTTGGATAGCATTTGTTTGCTCAGCATGTTTGTTTCCATCTGTGTAAATATGTGTACATGTATCCATGTGTTAGCACAGACTCATGGCAGCTGCAGATAAACTTGATTAATGATTTTGTTTACAGGAAAAGCTCCATAATCACTCTCAATCATTATATAGGAGGGCAATAGACAGATGCGTATCTCCCTGTCACAGTGTAGGATTAGTGCACAACCCCAAGTTCTACTATCACGTTTAGTTGTGAGGTCAGACACAGTTTAACATAGACATTTTTTTTTGTAAGAAACCCTTGGTAAATTAGAAATTAATTATCCTTACTAGGAAAACTTTTCTTTTCCATGTTGCACTTTACTGACCAACCAATGCCCGTAATAATGCCACAGCAAGCGTAGCAGAAAGGGCAGAAAAAGGCCACTAGGATAATTACTTGAGTAGATACAGGCCATTTATCAAGCTCAGAAATTGTGCTTTAGCTGCAGAGATCCACATCTCAGGTTGGAAAATCTGTGTGAAGGACAACTAATAGTAATTTTATTCACAAATATGGTATTTGTGGGGTACACTGCAAAAAATAGAAACCTAAATAAGTCATTGTTTCTTAAAATAAGGGGATTTTTTCTTAAACTGAGAAGGAAGTGAGACACTTTGCCAATGGAACAAGACAATTGACATTTAAAATAAAAAAAAAGTATCTGCACTGTCTTATTACAAGCGCAAATTATCTAATTATCTTATTTTAAGAGTAAACATGCTCAATCTATTGGCAAATCATTTTATTTACATACTAAAATTAAGGGTAAATAAACTTTATTTAAGAAATTTTTACTTATTTCTAGATCATTTTTGCAGTGTAGCATGAGACGCAGCACTATGCCTTTAGACTCTTCTTTTCACAGGGACCTAAGAAGTTAATATATATATATGTTTTTTGATGCAAGTAGAGCCAAAGATAGATGATGATAAATAAAAAGGAAATTCTTGTGGAAAATTCTGATAGGGTCTAATTCGAGATTGATGAAAACCCTTTACATATACAGCCAGAACTGCAATGAACTTTTGGCAATGAAAGTCTGTTCATGTGTTAGGATGGATCAAAGTCCAGACCTTAATCCAATAGAGAATGTGTTGTAAAACGTTCAAAAAAGCAGTTTACAGCCGCTCACATTCAGTTAGACTAAAATGGATCTCTTAGAAACAGGAATTGAAAAAGATGTGAGATATTACTTTGTAAAGATAAAAATGTATTGGATAAAAGTATGAACCATGGTTTCCAAGTTATTATTTGGTAAACTTTTAAATCCAAGCATCCTTTTCCATAGAAATTGTGCATCACGCTATGTTTTCCTATTGATAAAATCCTCATCAGGGTTGTGAGAAGTTGAAAACCAGACCAAAACTAAAAGAAGGTTCCAATGAACCTAATATTTCACTGAGAAGTGGCTTGATATTGGTTTTCATCACAATGTCCAAAACTTACAATAAACACTCTTTTTTTGCTGCTTTCCTTAGGTCTATTTGAAAACATTTTTTTTTGTTGAATATCAGAAAAAAAGCATAACAAATTGGGACTCAGATATGCACTTAGCCAAGCTTTGCTCAGTTGCACTAAGGAGGCATTTCTAAGCTCAATTAACCTCGATTTACCTAGGCGTGATTTGGAACAGGAGAAATGCAATTTAGGGTATTAAGATGAGGTTGTGGAACAGTAGGCTTCATTAGCTTTCATGAGAAAAATCAGACAAAAATCTTCTTTTACTCCTATTCTATTGGTTATATTAAAGTAAACCACAAGTAGAAATCTAGGGCTTTAAAGTTTCAATGATCTGGTCTTTATTCTTCAAAAAATGTAATATTATTAAACTATGTGTAGATCTAAAAAACTTTTTTATACTATTATATAAAACCCTGAAAGTGAAAAGAAGGATCAGTGCTACTCTGCACACCCAGCTCTACAACCAAACATGTAGAAGCAGCTTTTTATTTTTATGCTCCACTAATCTGGTAATGTATGTAAACATTATTAGTGTAATTTTGTAGTAATTTTTTTATTAATGATTCTATTAAAAATGTATTATGATTATCTCATGATTATAACTATTCATTTTATTCTAATATTCATATACATTCATTATTTAATTTCCTTTATGCCACTGCAATGTACTTCCCCTATGTGTTTTCCTATAATTGTTTTTCATGTATAGCACTTTGAATTGTCTTGTAACAGAATATAAATAAACTTGCCTTGCCTTGTCTTAAGATCACCTTAAATGCAACTTTGCTCTTAATCATACGATGGAGTTGTTTGTGTAAAATTAACATTAACATTGTGACATGAAAGTCAAAACCTTATCAAACGAGTAATAATGCATTGGGAAAAACTGTGGATGATGGAGAACAGTTGATAGGCAACCAGTCTATTACACAGATGAAACCATCAGCATCTCTGTCAGTATTCATTGAAGTGCCATGCTGCATATAGAACACAGTTTAATCGTCTAAGGCTGAAATCCTGATTCTCACACGTTGCTAGTATCAAAGTAACTTTTTAGGTGTATGAAGACAGAATGGAATACTAAGAAATCTGATATTTTATTATTTGTTTCAACTTTGCATTTGTGCATCAATTTTAACATGTGAGGTTTAAAATGTTAGCCTTAGCCAACACCACAGAGGCATCTGTTCTGAGGGGTTTCCACTAGATTGCCCATTCAAGCAGAGGGGTTCAAACATATTTCTATCTCCTTTATGATTGATTGCACAATGGTGCAGGAGATAGACAAACAAAAACAGGCCTTGCCAACCATAATGCAGGCGGTGCTGGGCTCTGCCATGGTGAAGGGGGAACTGAGCCACACATAAAGCTTTACTGGTCTCTCTACCTTTTATCCTAAACTATGGATATGAGGTATGGATTGGTTGAAAAAAAACATGGTCATTACATGTGCCTGTCATACGCTTTTCCTGTATGGTGGCTAAGCCCAGCCTTTGAGCTGGAGAGAGAGGGAGAAGTTTAATTCACTTTATTTCAGGATAGAGGTTCTCCTGTTCTTCACTAAAAGGAGTCATTAAGGTGACTCAATTAGGTTTTCTCGGTACATCAAGGGGAAGACTAAGCACACAGTGTTGGTACTACATTTCTCATCTGGCATTGTACAGCCACAGGTTTTACCTCAAATGTGCTGTATAGAGAAATGTAGGTTTCCTTGCTCTACGTCTGCAATGAAATCCAATCCTGCCTTAGCAGAAAGCTACAGATGGTCAGCTTTCGTTTTTTTGGGGATATAAAATAAACAAGATCAGACAATGTCAAGACCATGCATTGACAGAAGAAGTTAGAAAGCTCTCTAGGTTTAAAGAAGCTTTTCCTGAAAGGTGAGAACATTTTATGCCAAAACCTAACAGAGCTCTTGAGGCAAGTTACTAAAAACTACAATTGTTATCCCTAATTATGCCGCTAGTGGAAAAATCGAGATTAAATATCAGCAGTACATTGATTTAGGATGCATTCAGATGTTATGAAGATAATCTCCTTGTCGCTAGTAGAGTGTTCTATATATGAACCCAACTTTAGGACGCATTTTCACAACTATGAGTCACAAAGGGAAATAAAGAAAGCATAATATATTCTCTGAATGGAGACCCTTGAATGAGACTATATCTGGTGAACTACTTTGAAATAATGGGGCCTTTATTAGTCCAGAGAGGGATTCCGATGAGGTGTCCGTGAGGCCTGATGCAGCAGCTCAGTTGGGACAAGAAAGTCCAGTGGAGCCATGTGTTCTCTGTGTATTTACTGGACTTTTATTAGGCATCCTGTGGCAGAGGCAGCCTTTGAAAGACCGTCTTTATAACAGCTTTCCTGTTTATGCTTAGGGGTGGGAGGTCAGCACTCACAGCCCTGTGCTGAAAATGGTCAATCTGCCTGCATAGGAGAACTTTGTCTGTAAGCATACGAGAGAGTTTGTGTGTGTCAGCTGGTCTGTGACAGGGATTTAGAATGATGTGGGAGCGTGGCTTTGCAGGTCGTCTTTGTAGCAGTGGAAAACAGTCCAGAGCTTTGAGGGTTCAGCTCAGGCATTCATTCTAGTGTAAATTATATACATACTTCTGTCTTTCTATCATAATCAACAACTACATGGTATCTAGGATTTTCTGAGGTAGTTACAGATACAATATGTCTAGATGTTTTTGATAAGTCAGACTTACCCGGGGACCCCTCTTGCCTGGCAGGCCTGGTTTCCCTGGAGGTCCCGGCAGTCCCTAGTGAGAAAAATTTTAATCAGTGCTGAATATTAACTTACCCAACAAATGGCCCCTTGTAACACTCCAGCAGTTTTCTGCAGTCATATTTGTCAAACCCATCTGCTCATTTAAATGTTTTTGTGCATTACACAGTAAAATTGTTCTGCTCTGTGTTTAAAGAGGTACTCTTCCCCTCTGAAGTAATTCCATCTCTGGTGCTGTGATTTAAACTTTATCTATCAAAACCTTTGGAGCCTGTGTGGCAGGAAACCACAGAAAGACTAGAAATAACAGGTCATTTCCTGCGCCCCTCAATACCTCTGTATGTCTCTTTAAGGCTTTCTCTCATTCGTTTTCTTTTAATCAGAAAAGAGGAACGGGAGCAGTGAAGAAAAACAGAGCGCTGGTAGCTACTTTGGCTGACATAGTGGAGTTGTAAGCTGATGGATCTTAAAATTAATATGTTATATACTTTTTTTTATCTTTAGTGTATCCTAATTACATGGATGGATTTGTGGTATAAAAGAAAATTCTTATTTACTCATCTCAATATCAGACATTCAACATGCACATATAATGAAAATAGATTAATTCTACTGAAACATACACTAAGAGCTGTAAGTCTTAAGATGACAACCAATTCCTGCTTACTTTATTTTCATCTGGAACTCATTTTTGCCCGTCTTAAGAATATAAGAACCCCCATCTACTTTTTCTAGAGTGACCCCATGGCTGAGGGCCCCCGTCTGTGCATCTGGGTGGTTAATAGGCCTGTTAAGATCATATTGCACTAGTTCACACTTCCAAGTTACTGCTTCAATATTCTTTCATTCCATTTAACTTCCTCAACTTCTTTATACTCCAACTGGTTCACTTTTTTTTTTTTAACATATAGGTAGAAGATTTTTTTTCTTTATTATTCAATGAGTATTTGTGTAATCATGGTATGGTATTATTTTCAATAGCCACATTTAAGTATTATATATAACCTAATCATTGTGTTATAATAGATCCAATAGATTTTTTTTTTTTGTAAACGATTCAAATATTAATTTCTAGATTTGCGTAGTTTACAATCTAAATATCTTTTTTTCCTTGGCTTTTTGACTTACATATGGTTATACACCTGTTAGGCAAGCTGGTAATTAAACAATTTAAAAACTCAACATATCTGTTTATAATGTATTTAAAACACAGCTGTTAGCAGGATCAGTCTCTTTCAGTCCTAGATCACAGGAATGGTAAAAGATATCAGAGCTAAGGTAAGATAGTGAACCCAGAAAGGCATACAAAATGAAGAACATATAAAATGACCAGCGACTGATCTGCAGCTTTATCAAAACTCAGTGAGAAACAAGTGATCAGAACACAACCAGGTACACGGTAGAAGGTTTTCAATGATCTTTCATGATATATATTCAATGACACTATATCATCAACATGTAGTCAATGGTCTGTAATTTAACACATAGTACTGGACTGAACCACAGAGGCTTGCAATCTTGCAAACCCCTTTAAAGGGTAGATGCACAGGCCAGTCTTACGTTTATCAGCAAACATTCAAAGCATTCAGAGAAAGCTTGGAAGTTGTGAGATGAAAACCATGCTTCTTGGCATCAATACTAGCAGCTCTGTGTGGAGGAAGAGAAACACTAAGAAACATCCACACAGTTCAGCATGGCAGCATTAATATTATTCTTTGTTTTTGTTTTTTTTGTTTTCTTTTTGTTGATAAGGGTAGGGGTGCCAATAGTACAGTTTTCTACCACTAGAAAATGCAACAATATTCTTTCTTGCTTTCCTCCTCTGATTCCTACATGCAAAATGACAATGCACAAACAGAATCTTATTAATAAGACATTGTAAATATAACTAAATTGAATCTTAACCTTCTTTTAAAAAAGTTGTTTTACCACATCAACTTAAAAATTTTTACTGCTGAAGCCTTTGCTGTCTTTCTGTAATGACTTAAACTAAACATAGTCTAAAATTGTAATCAAAATGTTATTACAATCTTAAATTTGAAATCTTTATTGTAATAGGCTACATTACAGGCCTCCCTCTACAGCCAGTTCAAAGGACATAGATAATACTTAATAATGAATGACCACAGATTACTTGTACTAGCTAAAGGTATTTGAAATAAATGACCACTATGCATACATTTGTGGTAAAACAGTGGTCAGCCGTAATGCAGATGGATTCTGATGCTGAGTGTTAACTGACCTTTTGAAAGGGGCAAGCATTGCTTAGGTTTCAATCCACACACCAAAGGCTTGACCTAACCTTGAGCCTGTATTGAGAAACTCAATGTTTACTGAGTGTTTTGACCCTCAGCCTTGATCTGAAAGGGGAAGTCTGACCTTGTCTAGCCTTCTCTTACTAAGAGGAATCTGTTCGAGGGATGGGAAAGCATGAAACCCATCACATCACATCCATTCTAAATGGCATAATAAACAAATGAGTGAAAAGTTACAGAAATAAATAAGGACTTAACCTGTTCAAGATAATAACACCTAAGCTCCTTTTACATAACTTATTTATAAGCCCTTTTTTTCAAGTGTAACCGTGCTCAGCTTAAACCTGATCTTTGAAAAGTTTTGACATACGTTTTGGCAAAGTTCAGTACAGACTATTTCGATTCTTTGGAAAGGTTTCAGTTTTTCTACTTTTTCAGTGTAAACCCACTCGTTATCAGTACAGACTATAAACTGGTAATACCTAAGGTTTTTTTGGTACTACTTTAGATTAAAGGTGAACAGATGTTCTTACCGGCAGGCCTGGGTCTCCTTTTTCTCCCTTGGGTCCCGGCATACTTGGAAACAGTGTTGGTGGCACCTCCCAACTCACGTAACTATCCGTGGCAGGTGGCGTTACTGTGTTGAATGTAGGCTTAGTAGGTCGTGGATTCATTGGAGCCTTGGTAGTTTCGGGTTTCCTTGTTGGCTTTGTTGTTTGTTTGGAAGTTGGCTTTTGGGGTTTAGCAGTTGTAGTTTTGGTGACTGTTGATTTTGATGGCTTTGATTTGGGAAGTGTTGACTTAGAAGGGGTAACTTTGACAGGATTTGATTTTGATTTGGGTAGAGTAACTGTGGATGGAGGAGCTTTAGACTTGGGTAGTATTTTCTTTGCTGTTGTGGGTTGCGGCTTTTTCAGGACTCCAGCTTGGTCTTTTAAAACAGTGCCAGATTTGGTCTTAGGAGACTTGGTTGTTAAAGTGGCAGGGCTGCTAAATTTCTTCCTGTCTGGTCCTGCTGTTGTCTTTTTTAAGTGTTTTTGTGGAGTGGGCTTTGGTGGTGTTGGCTTAGCACTTTTGTGATTTGGAGCTTTTAAACCTGGGGTTTGTGGTTTTGTGCGTGGCGCTGGTGTCCTGAGTGGTGCTGTTACAGTTTCAGTCTTAGTTATGGAGGAAGGGACAACCAAACCCATTTGGGATGTGGTTGGGGTTACAGTTATTAGCAGAGGAGTGGGTATAATTATCTGTTTTTGCTTTTTTGGAAGCGCATACCTGACAGCTGAGGCAGCAGCAGCAACATTTCTGGCAAGGCTTAACCCTGTGGTCTTTCTAGGGGTTTCTGAACTACCGCGCTTTGGGGTAACAGAAGAGGCTGAAATGTTTGTTACTCTTGGAATAATAGGCAGTAAAGGAGAAAGGTTAGGCCTATACGTGTCAGCTTCCCTGCATTGTTTCTTAATGTATCTGCAGTAGTTGTGAGCTGCCTGTGCAGAAGGGACCAGATCAAACTGGCAAATTGCTCCTTCAAAGGATCCTGATGTTTGCTGTTGACTTGATCTCCCCAGCAGGAAGGAGCCCTGGAGTTCTGGAGCCAGTCCTTCCTCACTATCCCACCCAAAGTCTGCCTGGACACTCTGCTCTCCGCAGGAGGCATATAGAGTCACTGTCTTTCCATTAATTCCAAGTGCCAACTGGTGCCACTGGCCATCATGGGGCTCATATGGCAGTGTCACTGAGGTGTTTGGTCCTGTATGTAGGACAAGACTGCCTGGTACAAGCTGTAGACCAAAGAGGAGTTTCTTGTTGCTTGAAAGCAGAGTGAAGAGGAAAGCACTGTTTACACGGTGTGAGCGTACACTCAGGACCAGTGCCAATTTGGGCCAGATGGCCGCTGGAAGGATTGAGTGCAGTGGAGCCTCAATATGCGCCCTCTGGTTGAGGATGATCCCTGCTCTGAATGGAATGACCCCTTCTGGCACAGAACGTGATGGCTTCTGTCCCTTAAGCCCCAACTTTTGGAGGATATCAACATCTGGAAAAAAGAGGATGCAGTGTTAGATATGCATGCCTGTTGCTGTATATTCCATTATTATCTGAAGGGCATACTAAGCTTTATTGTATAGGCCGAAGGCTTTATTTGCATTCTTTTTAAATCTTTTTAGCTTATTTGACAGATTTAGATCAATGCATAATATTCATGAGGACATCATATATATTGCAGAAAGTATTAGCAAGAAAACAGCATGAAGACAACAATGAGTATTACAAAGATTGCATAACCATATGCGAATTCTCCTACCTACCTTTATTTTGCTGTTAAGTTTGTTTAGACAACTCTATCAATAATTTACATCTTTAGATAGAAATTACACTGCAGTGATCATGAAAAAGGAATCTGATGACATCTGATAACTGACTTAGGGAAAATGCTGTTATTGGCATAAATTGGTTAAAATGTCTAAAAAGCATTGGCTCAATTTAGAAAATAATGAATCTTTTTTAACATCCTTTACTGTGGATAATATAAAACAATTCATTTTAATGTACTTCTGAAATGTATAAGTTGTTTTTATTTAATCTGGTTTTATTGAAAATTATATTCAAAAATACATATACGACCTTTTGTTCCAAGAAGCTGATTATTGAATTAACAGCTCAGCATTGTGCCACAAGTTGCTATTTCAAGCCGTGTTCAATCAAGTCACTTGCAATGCCCAGGCAACAAGTGTGCATGTTTGCTGTTTTAACAACCTGCAAATTGTAAAAGGAGGGGTTTGACCCAAAATGTGATGCAATGTCTGTAACTTTTGGGCTTCATATTTCAGCTGAATCAAAAATACATATACAGTGAATATAAACTCTTCAGCTCAAACCCTACTTTTCTGTAAAAACGGCAAGTCATACAAATGCAAGAGCAGCCTATAGGGGCTTAACACTTTGTTTAAAATCTTAAAAACTTTAAATATTTAATATTACTCTTGCACAGTGAACTTCACTGCTGTTTGAAATGTGGAATTGCTGCACTTTCTTTGGAATATCTTGTCCGTATGTATTATCATATATTCTTATGTATTGATATCCTGTTTAAATACAGAGAAGTTTAGCACAGAATTTTTTATGTCTTACAGTGTGATATGACTACTGATTCATAGCATTTATTGGGGGAAAAAAACCCCAAAAAGGATGGCTAATGGATCCTAAAACAAATGAATAATGATTTGGCAATAATAAACAAAGGTAAATCACAGCTTTTTCTTATCATGAGTTAGGTTAGGCAAAGTTGTTTTCCATTCTGACAAGTCCTTAATCAAATGTTGTCTTTTTTATGTTTTGTTATATAGTGCACCTTTGCTTTTGAAGGCTTGGAAACACTAAAGTAAAAAAAGCAAGCTATAATCTGACTTCTGAAGAAATACATTTTTTGGTCAGGTGTCAGTTGTAAAGATACATCTACACCAATACCAATTTTACTAACTTTATTTTATCCTCTGTGCTTCAATTGGCTCATAGAGAGTAACTCTAAGTTGTCCTATGGAATTCAAACTAAATATATATTGACAGTTCTGTAATAGATACCAGATATGGCCCAAATCAATAAGAGAAATATAAAGTTTAAAAAATATATATTTTTGTAAATAAGCTAAATATCTTTCTGCTCTGCATGGGCAACTTTTCACATTAAAGTCTGCACAAGTAATGAATTTTGTATTATTGCACCAAAAAGTACTTTCCCATCACAGCAGCTTACACAATTTTTTTGTTTAAGTAGCTTATATACAGTACAGCATGTAACACTGTGACAAATGACTGGAGGTAAGGATATAGAAGTCTATAAATAGTAGGTAATATCTACTCTACAGACACTAAATTAAATTTTGCTTATGATTAAATGTGGCTCTGGGTTGATCAAAGTCAACAAATTTTCCCTGGAATACATAATCATGCAATCTATTCTGCTTAAACTTTAAAATGTGTCAGGTAAACAAAGAATGATTTGACATGATTTCAACTAAATTATATAAAGTCTACTGTATAACATTGTGTTTTATATTGATATTTATTATAAGGCCAGCACATTTGGGTACACATTCTCTCTACGATCCTCAGTTTTTTACTTAGCTTTAACCCTTAGCATTCAGTCCCACAGTAATCCCAGCTCTCATTCTCCTGATGACCTGTGACCCATAGGCCCCTCCCTTCCTCTTACTGCCTTTGGGCTAACTCTGACCTGTGGTTGCTGGTGCAATGGTGACATGCAGAGATTTTTTTTTCTAATGTTCAACACACTGGTAAAGCATAGAGTATAAAATCTTTGTGTCCCCAAAATAAAAACCTTCAATTGTTAATAGGCCAAAGATCAAACTTATTATTATTCTAGTAGTAGATACCTGCTCTGACAGTAACAATATAAAGAGCATTTGTCTTTTGAAGAAATTAAACCTAAGTTAGGGAGTTGTTGTTTTCATTTTATAAAAAGGTTTTTGTGTGTATGAATCAAGTAAGTTCTAAAAAGTCTATTTTTTAAAGCTTTTCTTAGCTTCGTAATGTCGAAGAATGAAATAGACTGTGCATCATATACCCATCCTCAGTGATTTTTTTCTCTCTGTGTGGTCGCTTTGGCAGCAAGGAACAGCATGACTTGGCAGTAAAACAGGGCATGCATTACATGTAATATATATACTGATGTTTTCAGTATCTTTATTTAAAACATTATACTATTAAAGGGGCACAGTGTATATTTACCGAGTGGTTTTACAGCATAACCTCTGTGCTTCAACATTAGTGTGTTGAGCACATGGCAAACGTTCATAGTCTTGTTCTGTGCCAAGTCACTAAACTAGGACAAATACAAAATCCAGGGGTTTACATGTTGTAATTTTATCCACTGTAAAGGATGAGGTCACTCTTTTTCACTCAAAAGAGCTTGCCTTAGCTGCGCTGGAGCACTGCAATCGGATCAGTTAAAATTATTCTTATTGCATTGGCATATTGATTGTTTTTTTTTCGAATTAATTAACTAAAGAGTCAAAAGGTAGAAATTTTTTTCTCTTTACGATTTAAAAATTTTTTTTTGTCAGAAAGTAACTGCAGTCTCTAAGTTTTTTGACCTCCGTACAAAATAAATGAAGAGGACTATATGATGATTATTTGGACTTTTATCAAGAGAAACTACAATACTAGGCAAAATGTTGTGCAACTTATTTTATTGAATGTATGGGACCTTTCTGGATGGATGGAAATTTGCACACATTTTTTAACTATCAGGGCAGCCACTGCTGCAAATCAAACAAACACAAACCAATATAATTTAACATATTAGGTTTCTGTTTGTGGCTGTGTACAGTGTGCTACACTGCTGCTGAGTAATGTATCTGGCTCCGTTTTAAATGCTTTGTTCCAAGCAAGAAGGTCATAGATTCAAATGTTGGAGCTGGATCTTTGAATATTCTCACAGTGCATGCATGGTTTCCTTTAAGATACTCTGGTTTCCTGAAAGGTCACTTTTAGGTTGATTAACTTCAAATGACCCTGAGGTGCAGGTGTGTGTATGAATAGTTTGCTCGCTGATGCTATAGAGTGATGACCTGTCCAGGGTGTAGCTATCTCACCTCTTGCCCTCTTGACAGCTGAAGAGAGGGAGCTTATAATTGTGAGTCTTCACTTCCTTAGCAACTCTTAACCTATTTAAATTCAACCAATACAACCTGTTCCTTTTTATGCATTTAGTGATTAATGAACAGGCAAAAGTAAGCTACATAATCATCTGAGCATTATTTATTTATGTTTCTTTTTATTCAACCTGGAAAGGCATATGTGAAATGAAAGGAGATGAGAAAGGAGGTTGTGTCTTACCTTCAGGGTGTTCTTGTGTAAGTCCCAGGTAACAAGTACAATATAAAACTGTACAGAGCAAGAGGGCTCTCCTGGAGAAAGAAAGAAGATCACTGTTACTAATGCTGATTGTTAAAAAGGGCAAATACGAATATGGGGTTAGAGACTTTCTTTGTTTTTCTGAACTATTCAGTATATTTTTGTCATCAGTTTGATTAAAAAATGAATAGCTTTGATTTATAATACGATTCGATAAAAAGGTATAAGTTAGTTGAAATAGTAGATGTAGATTAATTCTATGTTGACCAAACCACATTTTCTCTTTTTAGAGGTTAGCTTAGTGTTGTGTGACAATGAAGAAACATGCAACTGCAATATTACTGTTAATGCTGTATTACAAATGGTGAATAATTCTGCATATTTTCCTTTTCCTATACAACAGTGTTACAAAAACTTTCTCTGAGTTTGAGAATATTGTTCACTGGTATAAATAGAAGCTGCAACCAGCCAGTGAAAATTAAGAATGAACAATAATAGAAAAACATTTAACTACAATATTAGTTCTGAACATTCTGACAGTTTCCCCAAGTTTCCTTTCTGTGAATTTCACACATCAGCCACTAAAACTGAACATCAGTTGAGGGCATTTAGAGCAGATAGATTCCATCCAAATGCAGACTATATTGCTTAGCATTGTGTGATTGTTAGACAGTTTAAATGCAAGATTATGCCAAATAGGATATTACATTGGGAGGATATGATCGAATGCATTACCAAACCCATTTTAAGTGCATTTAATGAATTAAAATTGTGTATGTTTGGGGGATTATTTTGAGATAGGATGATCAAAGCAGACAAAGTTGTAAGTTTCCATTTCAAATTTAAGCATCTGATATGCAGTGGTGAGAGAATCTTCATAAATCCAAAAAGGAGCACATCACATAAGATCAAGGAAGGTTAGTATCTTGTCATTTTCGTAGTATTTCATATTTGAGGATCATTTTTATCAGTTCTGCAGCAAAGACACAAATAAATGGTTTACATGCAGAATTAAGGCTGCAGTACTTGTGTAGTGCAATAAAAGAATCGACATGATGTGTAAATATCGATTTTTCGAAGTTTGGCTTTAAAGGTCATCCTGTTTGGTTATATGCTTTACTTCTTTTCATATGTATAAGCTGTCTTGCAGTCAGTAGTTCTATTGCAAAGAATACTCTGAAGTACCTCATAGCAAACACTCACTTACTGCAAGCTTCAATGAACTTTGATACTAGGAAATATCTAGCATGTGTCTGTATATTGCACAAATTCATAAATTGTCCTGAAATTAAGATTAGCATCCAACCCAAATGCATTCTTTAACAAAAACAAATGTCAGCAACTAAGTTTCCACAGGAATAACAACGGGAAGCTGGATTCTGCAAAAGCAATTACAGCACCTCTTTGAAACCCACGCACACAAACAGACAGGGCTGCAGGCTGTGGGTTTTGGAGGCAAAAATACTACAGTTCACTACTCCAAAAAGTCTTCCAAAACCAATATGCATATAGAGACAGAGTAAAAAAAAAAAAAAAATCTGTCTCAGCAGTCTCTACACAACCAGGTGTTCAGCAGAACCTAAAACCTGGACCATCTTAGCATTCAGAGCTCAGTAGGGGGACCAAGAAGTGAAAGGCAGGGGAGCCACTATTTACCATTCGAGATCCTTCAGACACACAAAGTCACGCGCACACACACTAGAGGAGGAAATGCATATAGCAGCTGTGCCTCGAACCAGAGTTCCAAACACAGTGAGAAAGAAAGCAATGAAAGCAATTTTTTCAAATATATGTACCTGCACCACCTCTAGTAAAGAGCTTATGTGTCTCTATGTTTTAAGGATCCAATAATTAGTCTAAGTTCTAACAAGATGAAGCCTCCCCTTAAGCCCTGGATAATTATAATTAGAGAGTATGTGTGCAACATGTATATTTGTAGTGTCTGTCTCCCTTTTCAACCTCCTATACATGCTAATAAAGATTCATCCCAATCATCTTCACACACAGCTGTTTGTGGTTTTTACACAGGCTGTGTATGTGTCTATGTCTCTGTATCTCCAAGTTTGCAAGATGATTACAGTCTGATTTAGTCTTATCAACTGAGAAATCCATCCTCCTAAAGTGAGTCATGAATGCATCCCTTGTTGGTCCAGCACTGATGGATTTCATTTTATTCCTTGGGCAGTTTGCATCTGTGGAAACTGGAAGAAGTTTTCCTGGGGAAGAAGCAATGTTTTCCTTGGCTTCTGTCGGTTAAAGTTGTCGGTAGCTTGTTTAGGTTTTCATTAGTGTGCTTTTGATGTGACAGGTAGGGTTTTTTCATTCTGTTGCACTCAGAGTGCCTGACAACTGTACATTCAGACTATTGTGGTTTTCTTGCTGCAACTCTGAGTTAAGACATGACTCCCACTGGAAATTCTACCCTAAGCTGAGTAGACAAAATGCAAGATAGATGAGCAACCTATTCCATGAAGTTATCCATAAAATAAATCAGCCAGAATTTTTTAAACTAGATCATTACAGCAACACCAACATAAAAAAAAACTCCTTCTGTGTTTTACCCTATAAGAAATAGCAGTCATTTTAAGAGCAACCGATAAAGTTTAGATTTATCAATGTAACAGGTAAAAGGACTGCCTCAGTCTGCAATCATTTTTACTGTCATTGTTTTGACAAATTCAAAGTTATACTGTTTTTTTGTGGACATCACTTCAAGGTTGGTTTGTTGGAGAAGGGGGTTCAAGCTTAGATACAGTAAGCCTAGTGTATGGTTTCCATTTCTGTTCATGTGTTTAGACTACTCACTGATTCCCTGCAAAGGTTTCCCAAAGGAGACCCTTACCCTCTGAACACACACATACACACACTGAGTGGAAAATTCCTATGGATGAGCTGACAGAAATGATTCTTGATAATATATACCCATGATACACTCACTTGTCCATCATCTGTTCTGTCTGCGATCACATGGTGACTAATGTGAGGTATCTACTAATTTCTTTTTTTAAAAAGATGCATTAACATCTCCAGACATGAAGGTTGGGGAAGGGAGTCTGATTGTGTCATCGTCTGCTAATGCTGACAAGGTTTTTAATGAGAGATCGGTTTTGGAGCAGATTTTCAGTGTTAAAAACTGTTAGTACAATCCAAAATAAAATTTATAATTACTTTTTTTACTTGTTAGACATACAGAGCGACACCATGTGGATGGACATTGAAAAACAACGCAGATCGATTGCTTTATTGTGCAATAATAATAGTTAATACGACTCTTACTAAGGGCAAAACATCTGGACAAAGCTCTATAAACAAATGATTCTGATGACTCAGCTGTGAGCATCTCTTTAGCTGGGAAGTTGTGGAAAACCTGGAGGTAATTAAAAAAGTATACGGTAAGACCATTTTAAAATATTTAACTAATGGTTCAATGAGAGCAAATGTCACTTTGGGTAAGGAGTTCATTAAGTAATGAATGAATGAATGAATGAATGAATGAATGAATGACCTTCCAGTCATATAAGACCCCCTAGGCTAGATTTATTATTAAAAATGGTCTATCCGGGTATATTATTTGAAACTTATTGGCCACAATCCTTTAAATTTCAGATTAAATTACTTAATTGTAGCAATGTCGGTTTAAAACAAGCTGTCTTTAAAGCACTAATGCAAGTATGGCAGTGCGTAAAATGCGTAAAATGGAAATGTGGAAAATATCCAACGGCGCGGGAGATGCTATAAAGGCAGTTAAACTTTATAGGTCTCAATAATTGACTTTTCATGTGTTGTCAGATGAGTCAGTTTAGTTAACCCAGCAAGGTGATAATGATGCATTTTGTGTGAGCTCGCCAAATGTTTGAAAAGTAAACACATAATGCAGCTGCAGTTATGTTTGGACAACTTTCATGTTTTATTTTAATAATGTCTCTGCTCAAGTGATTTGCATTGTAAAGTTATATGCAACACATTATCAATGTCCTAAAATCCAGATTTTCATTTGACCCCATGTGGACAGCAACCCCTGGACCAGAGCCAGCCGGTACATCACAGGTACGAGCATTTCTGTATGGATTCGACAAAAGTTTAAGCGCATAAAAAAAAACAACCTTAGGCTACTTACTTTGTATCTAGATGAGAGGTTCTGCAAGCTCTCCTTCGGGTGCCTAAATTCATTTGTATTCATTTGTCCTGCCAGTCAAAAACCTGATCCGTTAATCACAGCGTGACTCCTTAGCGGGTGGAGGCAGAAAACACCGGCCGCCGTTTTACGCATTTGACAATCTTGAGATGAAGCTCCAGACGTAAAAAGTCATGCTGAGCTGCCTGTCAAGCTCGACATAAAATCCTCCTGGTTGTCTTGTTTGACAAAAGACAGTTTCCAGGGTGCAATCGTCTGGCGATATTCCCTTGTTGTTCATTCATTTATGCCGATCCAAATTAAAGGGCGCTGCGCCCGGAGAGGAAATCTGCGTGGGTTCTTCTCAGCGGGGTTACGGAGTCAGAAGCGCTGGACTCATCGCTTTCCTTTTTAAATAGGTTTTCTAAGGGTAAAAAGGATGGCAGACGAACAGCGCAGTCAGGTGTCAAGTTACAAGCCCAGCGGTTGGAGAGAGCAACTACACGCCTCTTTCTCTAGGGGGTGGCCACACGGATCCTGCACCAAACTCTGGTTAACCGTATGAATGAACCACGGTGACAAAGTTGGGCAGGATGAGTCCAGGGTTTACTGAGAGTGTCTTTATATACATGCACCTGTGGCACAAGTAGACTACATCTCAATAACTGAATGAATGCCATCTGCTGGGTTTACTTAAGTTCTTGTAAACTTTAACCAATCTGCAGGATTTTATTAAATTGACTCTGCAAAGTGACTCATGGACAAGTAAAGGTGGCAGCTTATAAATTAACTTATTTCATTTTGATTTGAATAAATTAGATTATGTTTGGAAAGTAAAATAATTTGATTTATTCAAGTCTAAAGGGGAAACTCATGTATATGGAGGAATTCAGTGCTGTGAAAAACTATTTGCTCCAGTCTGTTTTTGTTTTGATTGACGTTTAAACCATCCCAGTATTTATTTTAGTGTCCCTGGCCGCACGCAGCCAGTCGTCACTCCCAGAACTGTTTGATCAATAAATCACCTCGCTGGAACCTGTCAGATAACTTTAAGTAAGGGAAAACATGTCAAAAACCAACATATCATACTTTAATTCAATCCCACAATTTCAGAACTAGATGACAAGGAAAGTCTTTGCCATCTAACACCCTTGAAATTTTTTTTTTAGGGGCTTTGGGGTTCAGGGGAACCACAGTGACAAACATTATCCATAAATGGAGGAATCAACATACAGCACAGTGGTGAGCTTCCCCTGGAGTGGTCAGCTGACCAAAAGAGCACATCCGGAGGTTACAAACAAACAAAGGCTAACATCTAAAGCCCTGCCTCTCGAAACAGCCCGGTTTGAGACCCAACAATCCAAACAAGAACAGGCAAAGTTAGAACTCTTAAGATTTCTAGGGCCGAATTCCCAGCCGACCACAAACAAACATAAAAATGTATGTAACGCTAAATTAGTCCTTGTGTTTATGCAGTGAAGTGTCTTGCACTTGTAGTCTTTAATCATCTTTTTCTAGATTCTCTTTCATATTCCTGGTTACATTGAAATTTGAGCCCAAACCTCCCTTTCACCTGATGCATTGTGTTTTTGGTCTTTTCAGGTTCTCAGATTCTACTATTCATTCAATAAGACTTGCTCTGCTTCTACTCTCTGGCCCTCAAACTTAAGTTTGTTACATGAAGTTCTTTGTGTGTGTTTTTTAAATGATCAAACCTCTACCATGTTCATCCCAGTTTTCTGTTCATTTTTATTTTTGTAAAACTAAATGACATAATAATCAAATAAGGTTGTGGGATTTTGAGAGTCTTGGGCATTAAAAACCTGCCATAATTGATGGAATGCTGAATTCTGACCCTATGATTTTAAAATTAAGTTCTTTCATTCTTGGGCTATGCTCCAAAACGACAGGTCATTGCACAGTACTGATAATGCTCGATGCCAGCTGTTGTTTCAGGTGCTTTTACAATAATATTTCAAGGGGCCCTTGTCACAATTCAGACCTGTTTTTGTTTTCAGTTAACTCTCCTCACCTGTTTTCAGTTACCGGTACTCATTTTCTTATTTAGATGATGCCTTTTTAGTTGTCCCTTTTCTGTGGCTGTTCCCAGAAGTTTTGGTGTCGTTCCTCTGTTGAGGTTATCCTGTTGTGAGCCAACTCCTGGTTTCAAGATTAAATCTCCTTGACCACCACTCAGTGTCTGCTTAACATTTTTGGTTCTTCACCACAACAAATTATGACAAAAGGTTGTTTTGGATAGTCTGTTTTACTTTAAAAAATGAATTAAACATGCTCATGGAAAACGCGTATACTGTTGCAGATACCGTATGTTTTTATGCATCAATGACTATACCTTACAGTTTAAGGAAATACCAAATTCCCTTACTGAAAATAATTAATTTGGCATTCAGAAATAAACAGACAGCTGAAAACTGTGCTCACGCACTCCTTTTCCTCTTGTCAATACTCCATACTTTAGATGAATTCTGTTTAGATCAGGATGGTTTGCTGACAAATCAAGCAAAGTAAGAAAATAGTAAGTAGTGGAACTTACAGACAAATAATAATCTAACCATATAATAAGTCACAAGTTAATGAATCAATTAAATAACATGAATAAAGGAGAATTAACATTTAAAAGAGCATTTTAAGCAAGGTAAAGTTGCAAAGAGTAAAACATTGAAATTTTATAAACAAAATATAGCGATATAGTTTTACATAAAGTAAAACTTTTTCAAATACTTAGTCCACCAAGAAAAGTATTGCTTCCCCTTACAATATTAAAGACACTAAACATGAGTAAAGTAAAGGTTTATTTATATATCATGTTTTCATAGACTGACATCACTGAGTGCTTCACAAAAAGAGGAAACCCAACAAAATACATGCCGAGGTTCTTTATATTGACTTATCATCTGCTTTTAATACAAATAAATCAACTGACATGTAGGCACAATGTCACTTTTTAAAAGGGGGTTTTATTGAGTAGTTTCTGATCATTTATCTTGCCTCTTGGTTTGGGCAGCATGTCTCTGAAGGAGATGAGGTCATTGACAAGATTGTGAAATAGTCTGGCTGACTAATAGGGGAGTCACAGGTGAGCTTCAAACTGCCATACTCTCAGCAGTCACAGTGTCTAGCCAGTTATATATGTACTTCAAACACTAGCCTGATATCCAATGATCCAATGTTGCACTCAGTGACAGGGACTAAATAAAAAAAAAAAAAAAAAAATGGGGAGTAATCAGTAGATTAGCCAGACTCCAAATATTTCTCTCACTCTTGAAATTAAAGTAAATGCAAGAAAATGCTGAAAAACTGGGAAAATTTAGTTTTTTTTTTTTTAAATCTTTGTGTAACTTGGTCACATGTGAAATATTTTGAAAGAACTAGCTTGGGCTTTATCCCATCCCAATTCTGGTATTTGCAAAATGAGACCAAATAAAGCTCCAGTTTGGTTGTAATTAAATTAATTTAAAGGGAGTAACTGGAAAAACTTTAGAAATAGAGAGAAATTAAAGTCCAAATCAGACTGAATGTTTGCACTCTGAGGGTTGTTATTACAGCAACGATGGAGATGAAGGCTGCATTCTCCAAAATTAGTGGATAAACAGCTAAGGTGGCGACACAGACGTTGCGCTTACTTTTTTAGCTGACTAGCCAGAAGCGTTTTGGACTGAAAGTTCATCTTTAGTAATGCTGTGAAGTTAGGACTGAGAGGCTGCCTTAATGCTGGTGATCTTCACTCATTTTAACCTCAGGCAGTTGGCCAGCCAGCCACAAGGGTGGGTGATAATGGACATAAGTCATTAACATGCATTTACAACCCCCTTCACACACACACGCTAGCCTTGTGTTTCAGAGCTGGGTGCCACCTGACCCTCCCATGCTCTTCCAATGAGCCACTCTGCCTCCATCTTCCAAATTACAAACTCTGTGCTTGCGAGTGCGCTCGCTGCCACCCCTTAAAGCAGCTTAATTATGGTCATTGGCACCAAGTATGAAAGCTCCCTTTATCCCCCCCACGCTCCTGAAATAGGTCCTTGACGAAGCACACATGCAGCCCAGATCAAACGCTCCCAATAGGGAAGGGGTCATTACTGGTACGCAGGGCGGACACAACCCAATGGGTGCTGGGCCACGCCTTGAGCCTAAATTGCAGCCTGGGCCTGGTGAGGACACAAGCCTGTTCTTTGATGAATGACAAGAGTCACAGCAACACAGCCTCTTTGGATATCACTGTTTACAGTCAGCTATGTTCTGTACATACACATAAACATTCAATAAAGTGTCTTGTGGATTTGAAGCAAAGAAAACTAGGCACTGGGCTTGGTTGGGTGTTCACAAGTTTCTCATGGTTTATATTTATCTAAATGCTAGTGCTCTTTGAAATAAGTGGTATGCCTAGCTCAGATGTAGAGCTGTTGACTTCTAGTAGGAGAACTAGCAGGTCCATCCTCAGCTCTGACCTGAGTAAAAGTATCTCACTGTGTACGAGTGAAAATAGAAAGTAATGCATATAATATACATAGTAGAAAGTGTGTATGGATGGCTTCTTGAATTCTTCTAGTTGAACCTAAATTGTAAAACCTAAATGAGGTTAAAGATGCACTATATATGTATTGCCTTAGGATATTATCACAAAATTACCACAGATTTTAGTGTAGTGCATTGAGGTATTATGTAAAAAACTACCGTAACTCAAATTATCACACAGTTGTAAAATCAATGAAAACAATCCATAATTTTTAAGATTGTGTATAAATTTGTTTTGAAATTTGAGGCTTTACACCCTAACCTGCCATAAGCCAGATTGATATGCGAGGCCAATTTAAATTCAACATAGTATCCATCAAGAAAGCATTCTCAAATGGTGGACATTCAGTATAATTCTTAGAGTTGATTCAGTAACTCGCCAATTGGCACCTGCCTCCCATGTCAAGCTTTTAGCCAATCACAGCAATAGCAGCTGTGATGTATCATGATCTTGATTCGATGATAAATCAAACTCTTAACAAATCTAGTCCAAGGAACAGGCAATCATCTTTACAATCCACAAAGGCACAAATCCAGTCCTTTTGCTTATTAAAAAACAAAAAAGAAATAAAGGTTACTCAAGTTTAAAACCCGCACAGCCATGTTCATGCTTCAGCCCGCATCATACACATCACTGCATTTCATTGGTTCAAAGCAGTTCTGTATTTGAGGCAAATGTATCTATTGATAGGTGGCAAGATGTATTACGGAGTTTACAAATTAAGAAATCTTGTGACTGTTCGTGTTCCTTGCAAGGTAATTTTCAGCCTCCCTCTTGAAGGAACTCCCCACATCCAGATGCTGCAACCACCATGTTTCATGCATTCAGGGCCATGTGCAGTAGTTTGCCTGAAGGC